ATCATCATCCTTTTTATTCAACTGTCAGTCAGAAAAAAGTACATGTTGTCAATACACAGTTAAAAACATCCAGGAAGATTTTAAAACTTAGCCAACACTAAAATGGGCTAAACAGATAGCCCCATATCAATACAGTCAATTATAGTCTTGCGACGCTTAAAAGCTAAGAAGAGAAATTTGGCCACCAAGGAAGGTATAGCTCTAGTGGCGTTATTCAGCAAGTGTAAAACCTGGTTTTCTCCGGGTAGGAGGCTGAATTGACATAGGAGTGGGTCTATAAAATTTTGTCTAAGCTCTGCATAAGAAGGGCAAGTCAAGAGAATGTGTTTGGTGGACTCAACCACCCCCATGGCACAATGACAAGTTCTCTGGGCGTATGGTACTCCCCTGTACCTTCCCCACAATATCGTAGAGTCAAGGACATTTAATCTAGCCGCTGTAAGAAGTCTACGGTATTCCACATAGTGGATTTCTGCAAGGTAGGGGGGCTGGTATGGTCCGATAAATCTGGTCCCCTAGGAACATCCCTGGTTTTACCTGGGCTATGTCCTCTTGTCTGGCAATGTCACTCAGTCTCCGGGAGATCACAGCTCTAGCTTGATTGTACGTCATAGACTCGAAGTAAAGGAGAGACAATCCGCAGGATTGAACCTCATTAATGACCTCCCTTTCCCACGATGATTGGAAATTGTCCCTCAATATCAAGGGGGCAATACCCACTGGTTTAAAACAAAGCTTGAGCCATAGCCAGAGCTTCGTCTTCAAGGCCACATACCGTAGAGCTTGCTAGCCGACCTCTAATCTCATAACCGCACCCGCTACCGAGGGGGGAATCCTAAGGATGGCTCTAAGGAATCGCGTTTGGATAGAATCCAGTTTCAAAAAATCCCTACGGGAGCCTAAAGAGATGCCCACCAAAAGAAGGGGGAGGACTTTCATTTGAAAGAGTCTCAAAGCTATCTTCACTGATTGAGCCTGGTTCTTAGCATATAGAGATCTAATCTGGATGGCTGCTTTAGATGCGTTAGTTGTTATATAGTCTCTATGGGCTCTATTTGACCGTATTACTTGTCCCAGATATTTAAAGCAGTTAACCTGCTCTAGGGGGATCCTGTTCATCGACCATCGATGGAGTCTCGGTCGGACAGAGAAGACCATGATCTTGGTCTTAGCATAGTTAGGTTGGAGCTCATGCTGATCACAGTATTCATGTAGAGCTTGCAACATTCTCCTCAGTCCAATAGGGGATCTGGCAAGAAGTGCGGCGTCATCCGCATACAGAAGAACGTTCAGAGATCGGCCTGCTAATTTGGGGGGGTGGAAAGCATCATTGGCCATGTGAGTCACCAGTGAGTTAATGTAAAAATTAAACAATGCTGGGGCCAATAGACAACCCTGTCTTACCCCTCTAGTGGTGGTAACCGGGTTGGAGACTAGGCCTTTATTGTCTAGCCTGATTCTCAGAAAGGTGTTTGTATGGAGGCTGGTGATCAGATGAAGGAGACGGCAATCGATCTTTGTAGCGGCCAGTTTTGTCCATAGCTGCTTTCTAGAGATTCGATCAAATGCCTGCTTAAGGTCAATAAAAGCCACATGAAGAACCTTTGGGGCTTTGCCGGCATACTTTTCCGCCAGGTGATTCAAGATTAATATTTGGTCTGTGGTAGATCTTCCAGGGCGAAAGCCCGCCTGTTCATCGGCAATGATATTGTCGTCCTCCATCCATTTCGATAGTTTGTTTAGCAGGTATCCCGAGTAAATCTTCCCAATGACATTTAGCAAGCTGATTGGCCTAAAGTTGCTCGGCTCTGTACGAGGTCCTTTCTTATGTATTAATACAATCAACGCAGAGCTCCAGCTTGAGGGAAATTTTGCTGTTTTGTTTATATGCGTGTAAAGTGCTGCTAAAAGTGGGATCCACCAATCTTTATTTGCTTTGATGACATCAATGGATATAAGGTCATCACCGGGGCCTTGCCTGCTTTAAATCGATCTATGAGAGTTTCAACTTCAGGGCATGTAACTGGGTCCCAATCGGGCAGTGCTTCCGGCTCCACCGTATCTCCGCAGGCATCATGAGCTGCATACAGATCGGCGAAGTATCTTTCCCAAGTGTCCGCTGAGATGTGGGGTTCTATTCTTGCAAGCGGCACCACTAGGTGTCAGGATAACAACAAAGAAACTTCATATCAGCCAATATCCATATACCTCAACAGGCACCCTCGGCCCTCCTGGCAGGAACAGCACAAAGGGATTCCTTGCTGTGTCAGACCATCCTGAAGCAAAACACTGCCTTTGGAAGAGCTTCATACCTGAGGTGGTGCCTGTGTACTTTTATTATCTGACGATGTAAGGAAAGCAGTACTGATGGAGCAGGTTGTGGAGGCCCTCTTGTCAGAGGTTGTACAACACAGGTGAGGAACCTCAAGTCTGAGGGCTGAATGCCCTTGAGACTCTTCCTAGAGACTATTCTCCCTCTCCCCAGGCCCCACTCTTAACTGTTCCTGCTCCACATCCTTGAGTGCTTTTGCTTGGCTATAAATGCCCTTAAAGTCTGATGATGCCTCTTATGTTCCTGGATAGAGGATAGAGGTGTGTGTTTGTGTATTGAACCCTCAAGCTTTTGTGTAGTTGAAATGTAGCGTGCAAAAGGTAAGAGTTTAATTCCCCAGTCCCTGTCTCACCTTGATGAGGAATATGTTAGCTGCCCTTCTTCCTCCTACCAGAGAGCCAGTGTGGTGTAGTGGTTGAGTGGTAGTCTCGTAATCTGGGGAACCAGGTTTGCGTCTCCGCTCCTCCACATGCAGCTGCTGGGTGACCTTGGGCTAGTCACACTTCTTTGAAGTCTCTCAGCCGCACTCACCTCACAGAGTGTTTGTTGTGGGGGAGGAAGGGAAAGGAGATTGTTAGCAGCTTTGAGACTCCTTTGGGTAGTGATAAAGCGGAATATCAAATCCAAACTCTTCTTCTACCTAAAGCCACCATGAGTAGCATTTCTCTACCTCACATGGAATACAATTCAAAAGGAGATTTCTGTAGCAACAGCAACATCACTCTGACATTTGCCAAAGGGAAACTGGTGTGCTTATGTAATGGAAACAAGGGGTTAGTAGACAATTATTATTAGACCATTTCCCTCTTCAGATGTCATAACAGTTGTTTGCTTGTATTATTATTACACAGTATCTCACCCCTCCCCAAAATGCAGATTTTTCCAGCTGAAATATACTAGTAGCTATTCAGTTTCTCAGGGCCAAACTAGGCATGATACTAATTGCTTCCTTGTTTTTTGTTATGTAAATTGCAGGCAAAAGGAAACCTGAGCAGCCTCAGGTTCACGGAGAATGAGGAGTTTCTCTGATTTTTTTTACGTGTGACATTTTATTCCAAAATATTAGAGACTGAGTACTTGTTTTTCCTATGTAGTGCAGTCCTGATTTATTGCATACTTTCTGCTCCTGAAAAACACTTCTTGAGAAGCTGGTTCCATTCTGAAAATAAGAGCTGATTGCAAATCGATTCAGCATTACTCCACATGTGAAGTGACATGTTTATTTAATTTCATAAAATTTACATACCGCTTGATTGTAGAAATAAACCTCAAAAGCAGTTTACAAAATAGAAGTTCACATGCACCAAGATCACAATCGCCACTTCCTTCTTCACTCACCTGGGGCATTTGCAGGAGGAAAAGACATGGATACCCTAATCGGGAAGGATTTTGAAATACATATCAAGTAGCCGTATACATCCTTTTGGATAGCAGGATCCAGAATCGATACAGATTGAAATTAGCATGCTAAGGATGAGAACAAACTATTCCATATTGAGAAAAACTAAATTTTTATGCCGCAAATGGATAGGTGTGTATGCAGCCTCTCTCCCCCTGGTATGATCCCAACAAAAACCACTTCAGCAAAGCCTCTATTTACACACCACCCCTGTCCTGAGACTGTTTAGGCTCCCCCTAAGCTGCAATTTACAAGACAAGAAATGTGCATGTTAACTGCACCTGCACAATTAACTTCATGGCTACGGTGGCCTTAGAATGCCTTCAGTTGACAGGTAAGCTTGACACACATACACAACTGCACAGAAGCTGTACTTTCTCATTAGGCATTGTTGGAGAGCTTGTTATGAATGACTGTTGTGTCTGTCCCAGTGATGACAAATTCTAGTATCCCTCAATACCTTGCAGCGTTCTCAATGACTTTGTGAAATTCTCATTCACATGTAGCTATTTCCACGTTGGAAGAATGATTACAATAAATCATCTCTGTTCCCAGTGGAATATAAGGGGGGGCTGTGTCGGCCATTGCTTAGGTTTGCCAGGAGATAATTAAGGCTGGAAGCTTTCTTGCCCAATCAGTTTGGAAGTCTTGTTTAATAAGTTCTGATAATCCCTAAGTATTTGTTGGCATTTGAAGCAGTAATTTACTATGTGCCTCACCACATGGAGTACTTTCCAAAAGGCCATGCTAAGTTTACTCTGGAGTTTGCAGTATCAGGTATCTTGGTGGGGTGTACTCTCTCCTTTCGTGCTCTCACTTTGCAGACCTTGACGGATTTGTGCATTTCACTGGTAGGTTCAAAAACCACATAGCATCCTACAAACTCACACGTCAGACAAAATTAGCCCTACTGGAGAGGATACTGTGAGAGACACCCTTCAGTGCGGGGATAAGACAGATGTGTACATTGCAAGTTCCTTGAGCTCCCTACCCACAGAGCAGATGAGGATGGGGTAGTGGTAGCACCAGAGATGATTAAATCTACTAAGTCATAAGGGTAATAGCCACCAATTTATACGGCTTTAAACCAGTATTAGACAAATTCAGGGAGGACAAGACTATCTGTGGCTATTCAGACTAGCTATATGCCATCTGCAGTATCAGAAGCTTTTGAGTACTAGTGCTTGTAGCTTCCCGTAAGAATCTGATCGGCCACCGTAGGAACACAATGGTGGGGCATGATGCATTCTGTGGAGGCTGGATCTGCAGCCCTGTGGATCCTGCCACCTGAGGTGGCTGCCTCAGCTTGCCTCATGGGTGGGCCAGCCCTGGTCTCCAAACATAGGATGCTAAGAACCCTTATATCCCCGCTCGATCATTAAGGTCATCTGCAGGAGTGTCGGTTATTCTACAAGTTGGTGAGGCTCCTTTGACAACAAGAAACATCAGCTCAGTCCTGTGGAGTGCTTTGTCAATGAGAGATTCAGTGGACACCCTCTGTGCCAACTTTTAAATAGCTGCTGGAAACTTTTTTATTCCACCCAGCCTATGCAGGCAATTAAGAATACATCCTTCCACAATGGTTACTTGACGTCTGGTTATAACTGCTTTATATGTTTTTACAGTATGTTTAGATGACAGCGTCATATACATTTGGTGAGATGCTAACACCTTTTGTTGTTAAAAGGCTTTTTCAAAACGAGTTCACTTGTGAGCAATATTGAATGTTTCCTTCTGTTTCTTAGAACTATCTTACTCGTTTTTGTTTGTGATTTCAGCAGTTTATACATCTTTCTAACGGGTTAATAAATTATTATAATCAATAATAACAAAATAAATACTAATGACAGTTTCCAATAAACTCAGTTTTGTGCTTTCATGTTTTATGAGTCTGCGAAGTATTCCACATATATCAGCAACTGGAAAGTCTGGGACAGGTAGAGATTCACTGCCTATACCATGGAGAAATAACAAACTGAGCTGCTAATATGCAGGCAAATAATGACCAGCATGAAAATATTAACTGGAAAGCTTAGCCTTAAATTTCCCCATGAGACACACACTGTCTGTCTGGGAAGTCAAGTGCCCTTTTGCAAGATCCTTCAGGGCCTCACAAGCTGTGAAAATTTAAAGTAAACCTCACACAGCAAGGCACTTCCACTCCCAGCCAGATACTTAAAAGGGTTTATGGACTAACCTCCCAAGCTATATAGCACCCCATTTCCCTTGGGATCCCAAAGATTTACAGGCTGGGTGATAACTTGAATCCTGTGCATTCCAGCAGTTCTCACCCCAGAGGATCCCAAAGGGCTTTATAGGCCATGAAGTGAAACTCATCCCTCACATTCCTGCCAAGATTCTCTTTGGCAGAGTCCTGGAGCATTTATAGACTCTGTGAGATCTGCACCCCCTAGCAACCTTTCTTCCTCCTTAGCTGGGCTGTCAATGAGTAAAAGGAACTGCATCCTTCAATATCTCCTGCCCATCTGTTACGGGTTAAGCTGGAGGTTTTCACTCTAATGCTGGTGCAAGGAGTTTGGGAGCCCAAGGTGGAAATTCCAATGACACACATTACCATCACCAATTAACATGGGAGCGTATAGTGCTCTTGCATGAGAGCACTGTGACCTGTGGTAGGTAGGGATTCACTTGGAGGGTCAGTTGTTCAAGGTCGATCAAGGTCTATCTCCCAAAAGGAAGGGGAAAACACCTTGCTTTTCAATGCAAAGAAAGCTGCCACAGTGGATATATTACTTTAATATTAGACCTGGACAGAGAAGAGTTCTGGATCTGCAAGACCAGGAGGAAAAATGCACAGATCATTACAGAACTTGGTTTTTGAAACATGGGTGATCCTTCACATCTGGTTGACATGTCTTGTGAACCCCACATCATCCCAGTGGTTTATAATATAGAAGAAGTAGAGAGGGTCTTTCTGGTGGCGGTACTATGGTGATGAAATGCTCCCCTCGGAGACCCTTGCCTAGAATCTCCTACAGCAAGTG